ACCCATTCACCCCCGAGCCCGGATATACAATTGGTTTAGGAATGCGACCTCAATTTGAGGTCTAAATCCCCAAATTTCGAAATTCTTAAGTTCCCAAAAATCCCTAATTCCACCATGTAAAACCCTAGATTCTAGAATGAAATCTTGTAAAAAGAAGTTAAAGGTTGAAATAAATGAGTTAAGAATCATTTACCTATGATTTGGGGAAGAAAAACCCTTTGAAAAATCGCCTCTTGTGTTCTAGGTTTTGAAAAGTGGGAGAATGAATGAAAAATCTCGTCTAAGTCTAAACTTATCAGCTGCAGATGTCGCATTTGCGACCTGAGCTTCGCAATCGCGAAGCTCACAAATGTGAAGGTGCTATCACAATTGCGAAGCCCTTCACAGTCCTGCTGCCTTCGCAAATACGAGGAAAGTGCCGCAATTGTGACCACTGAACCTCGCAAATGCGAGTAAAAGATCACATTTGTGATCCTGACCCTTCCCAGACGCCCTTCGCAATTGCGAAGGTAACCTCGCAAATACGAGAACTGCTGGCCCAGCCTTCCTTCGCATTTGCGATGAAGGCCTCGCAAATGCGAACCAGCAGGGTTTGCAATTGCGATGCCTGATCTCGCAAATGCGAGATCAGAGGCCTGCAACCAGTTCAGTTATACCAGCAACATTTTCTAAGTTCCAAATCACTCAATAGCCTATCTGAAACTCACCCGAGCCCTCGGGGCTCCAAACCAAACATGCACCCAAGTCTTAAAACACATACAAACTTGCTCCCGCGATCAAATCGCAAAAATAACACCTAGAACTACGAATTTAGCACCAAATTGCATGAAATTTTCAAAACTTCTATTTTTCTCAACCAAAGGTTCGAATCACGTCAAATCAGTCCCGTTTCTCAACTAACTTTACTGATAAGGTATAAATATCAAGGACCTATACCGGGCTCCAGAACTAAAATACAGGCCCGATATAACGAGATTACATATTAACCAAATTCTTAAAACCATTATAATTTCAGTCTTACAATTTTTATCAAAAATTCATTTCTCGGGCTAGTGACCTCGGAATTCGATTCCGGGCATACGCCCAGGTCCCATATTTTACTACGGACCCATCGGAACCGTCAGAACACGAGTCTGGGTCCGTTTATGCAAAACGTTGACCGAAGTCAATAAAAATCAACCTTTTAGGCCAAAAATTATTATTTCATCAATTTTTCTCATAAAAGCTTTTCGGATACACGCCCGGACTGCGCACGCAAATTGAGGAGGAATAAAATGAGATTTTGAAGACCTCGGAACACAGAATCGAGTTCTAAAACATAAGATGACCCTTTGGGTCAATCATATGTAAGAATACATTGGATCGTTATTGTTGTTGTTAATATCAATGGACCCGTCTGTCTACACAACTTGATTATTTAGCTTTTTCAAATAATCTCTTTTTCATATTGTTAATATGAGAGTAGGGAAGTCACAACTTGATATCAGGAGCGGATTTATAGGTTTAATTATTAGGCACGTGAACCATAGTCTTTCCGTAAATTTTGGTATAATATTAAATATTGGCACCCATGCTCCAGGGAGATTGAATGGTACACTTGGTTGAAGAATGAGTTATTAACAAGAGGTATAGGGATCAATTCTCACTAGATAAATTTTTGTCTCCTTTTTTTTAATAGTGCATTCATGTACTAAAAATCATAGATCCACCTCTGCTTGATATGATAGACATGTAAATTATTGAAATTGAAACTAGTGACACTAAAATTCAAATTGTAACTTCTTGATCAACTTGAACTATCTTTTCAGCAACATTTTTTCCTCTTACTTCTACTGCTTCAATTTCTCTAGTCAACATTTAACCCCCGAAAAAAGCATTGAAAATGCTAGTATTTAGTTTCAACAGTGAGCCCACATGTTCACCCTTACACTTTCTTCGTAAGAAAATGACACTATATAGTCGCTCTCAAAATAATAGCCAAAAAATATATATTTTTTATATATATGTATGTTTCCGTATGTTATATGCAAAAAAAGTATACAAATTTTATATAATTTTACGGCTACCGAATATTAGTAATTTCGACCGCGGGCTAAAAGTAATCTTTGTCTTTCTTTTTCTTAAAAAAGAAGTTTGAGTAACATGTTGAAATTAGCTTGCATCAAATCCATGTCAATGTATCCCCGTGACTTGAATATATTTACCAAATTTCCCCTACTTGTGAAGTCTTTTTTATTTTTATTTTTATTTTTTTTCTGTGATATAATATTTTATTTATTCTCTTAAAGAAGATTACGTGTATAAAATGCACAAACACTTTTATTTTTTATTTTGGTGTATGGCAAAGATACAAAGACCTCCCTCATAGCTTTAGGAACTAAATACTATCTCTTGCTAGTACTTCTTTTCTTTTGTTAAAAACCAATAATATTTTTTCCATTTGCGGAGGAAAGAAATAATGTAAAAGTTGAATAATTAATAGGAAAACGGCATGAATTTTTTCCTAATTAATCAAAATATTCTTAAATTATAAAGATGCATTTGAAATTGCTAATAAAATTTTGAGATAACATCCTGAAATCATAATATCAAGTTCTCTAAAAGATCTCTGTTTTTTAAGGTAGTGTAATCCATTCCCCAAGCATAAAACATGTGATATTGCTTAGTCAATCAAAATACGTCATTCCAATAGTTGAACATAATACATTTCCTTATCAAAAACAGAAAGGCCAAGGTATTATTCTGCCTTTGCATATTTCAGTCAGAAGAAACTGCACGTGTTGACTTTTTAACACACGAAAAACATATGGATGTATTAGTTTAGCTTATCAACTTCAGCATAAAGAAAGTGAAGTAATATTAAGAGTTATGAACTTACATGGTAATTTATTTTGTCCTTCACACCATAACCAATCTTTCTGGACGATCTAACACATTATACCAACTGATAGATACTAAGGAAAGAATTTTATTCGAGTTTTAAGAAGCATAAGTGTATACGGTCGAAATCAGGTATGCCCGATTTCATGGGCTCGAAGAGTCGCTTCAAGCCCGAGTTCAAGCCCGATGGACCAAGTTCGAGTCCGATGATAGAGTACAAGGCTCGAAGATCGAAGTACGCGATGAGCACCGAAGCCGAGTGTGACCAACCCCGAGATGATGCCGTTATGGGTTTGTAATAGAAAGAGCAAGATTCCCGCAACATCCCCAAGATCTCGGCGTAAATTCCGGAATAGATTTGTACGGATTTGTACTAGGCGGTTACACAGCTGTCCCAATAAGATTCCTTGCTAAAATTAGAAATGTACCTTATTTAGGGTTCCCCTACTATATAAAGGGGACCCCAATCGTTTGTAACCATTATCAATCATTAGCAAAAGAATATACTCTCTTACTTTCTTGCTCTTTACCCATCAAAATTGTCTCTTAACTTTATTGCCTTTACTTTACTGTTCTTGTTGACCAGCCTCGAGGCCATCATAGCTCGAGGTCAAGACTTGTTTAAGCACTGGTCTGATTCAACTTACTTCTTTGATTTATACGTTTGATTTCTTGGTTATTAATTAGTATTGAATTAAATCATGTATCTTTTAAACCACAAACAAGTTTAATTGTTACTCGTATTTCGAGGTAAACAATAAGATTTAAAGTCACCCCATTCACCTCTTTTGTCAATATTGTTGAATCTCTTGCATGTATTGGCCATTTACTTCTTGGTTTTTTTTATTCCCCTGTTTAAGCCAAAGAGCTCTACACCTTTGTCTCCATTTTATTTCTTCACACTTGGCAATGTCTTCAAGTTCCATGTAGATGCCTGATTTCAATAGACGTTCATCTTCACCATATGGATGGAATTTCACCACTCAGTTGAAAATAAGAATCTGTCCAGTCTTGATGTAGCTACATGATTGTCGCTTTACATCCAGGTGAAACTACCACCAGTCAGAGGAGGATCAATGAGTTCGAATTCTTCAATACAGTTTGTAAAATCAGGCCCATATCTGCTGCTGGTTCTATTCTTCAATACAGTTTGTAAAATCAGGCCCATATCTGCTGCTGGTTCTTTCTGATGCAAACCTGGTTGTATTAAAGCCTCCACATATAACCCAGGGTCCAGGATAAATGCCTCTGATTACTGCAAGTTCCTGCCACAAGTCTTTTTTCTCATGTCTTGTATATGGCCCATAAACCCCAGTTAGATGCAATGTGAATTCTGGTCTCGCGAAGAGAACTTCAAGGTAATGTAGTATTCCCCTGTAGCAATGACGTCTCCCTGCCATATCCTTTTGTCCCAAAAAATCTAATACAATACTTTTTCGGAACCGAAGAAGTAATTACAGTAAAATGATCACAAGTTGAAGAGAAGAAGAGAATAAGAGATTGGTGGGAGTTAAGAAGAAGTAATTACACTGCTCATGAGCTTTCACCTTATCATATCCTAGAGTAGAACCATGACTTTTATTTGAAAGCTCTCACTTCACATTTCAACATAACATGTATTTATCTTAACAAACACCTATGGCACATAAAGTTTTACCCAAAAAGAGTGCAGTGGCCATCATACCTTTAGATTTGTAAGCCAGCCGAAATTAATCCAATCAACTCTTTAACAGGAGGCGCCAGTAGATGTTTTCCCAAATGCTAGACAAAGTTCCTAAAGATCAGTTTCTCTCAAGTATACATCTCTGTACTGTTCAAAAGTTAACAAGGGAAGAAAAGCCACGTGCATGAGCACATGAGGCAGATATTATCGCATGTATGAACAGCTTCTAGCAAATTCTTCCAAGTAAAGGCCAAAAACAAAAGAGAAAACTAATTGAAGATAACAGAAGGTAACAGAGTCGAGAAAGAAACAACACCAACAGCAGAAAATCAGTTAATAGAGAAGAAACAGAAGAGAAAAAGAAACAAATGATGAAAGAAATATGGCAGAAAGAAGATGGTATTCCATGCGCAGTAACACCGATGGAGAATGCAAATGAACAAAGAAGGTAGAAGCAGAAGTGGAACCCAGTTGGCTTAACACGTTTCACCATTAAAAGAGGAACATGAATTCATGAAATAACTGAAATTGAAGAGCAAAATAGCAAAATAGCAAAATACACATGATAAACAATAGTAATTCCTATAATACCCCTATCCGTACACCCCAACTCCCATTTCTATATAATAGTAATACACATGAAACCTTTTGATACAAGCTATATCTAAAACATCAAAAGATGTAGCAGCCAGTTCACCATGACTACTGCAAAAACTTCGTGAATCATAGCAACTGTACAAGGAAATGAATAAAGGACACCCTTTGTGATTTTCAGTTGGTACATGTTCAAAGTGGGCGAACCATTTGATTTTGCCGCCAGACACAACCAAAAACATCAAGAACATGTTCTTCAATACATTGTTGCTCTTCTTTTTAGGGAGTATCAATTCAATCCCATTAGAGACCTAATTCCTTTTTCAATTGGGCAAGGGTTGCTTCAATCTCATCAATATTTTCTTCAATACTGCTATTTTTCTCTGTCCTATTTTCTTTTCCATTATCAGTTCTGTTTGTTCCAGATTGTGCATTTCCCTTCTGGGGTCTTTCATCATTGCTTTTTTCTTCTACCTCTGCATCGGTTATATTAAGCTCCTTCTCTAAGAACTCAACAAATTCTTCCCCGATTTCCTGTCAACAATCAAATTTTATAGTGAGAGAAACTCCAATTCTTTCTTTATCGCATGCAGAGTAGAAGTACCAACAATTTTGTCCAACTCTAATAGTTAAACGATTTTCACATCCAAGAAAACCTGCTCAACCTCTGTTCCCAGGGGTATCTAAGCCAGAGGCATCTCACAGGAAAAATAAAGGATAATACCTAGAGGGTGGTAAGAGGCAAATGATCAAAAGGAGAAAAAAAAGAACGGAAAAGGGCCAAAACTGCCCCTAAACTATTGGATTTGGTACAAAAATGCTCTCAGTCCACCTACTGAGCCAGAAATGCCACTGCCGTCTTCTTTTGGTCCAAAATGTCGTAAAAACTAACGGACCATTTAAAACAAAAAGGGAAAAGACCAAAACTTGCCGATCTATTGGATTTGGTCAAAAATGCCCTTCGTTAACCACATATTGTATGATCTTAAATGTGCTTTTCTTTCATACAAATTGAATTTATCAACTTCTTACCGCCAATTCTTCCCACAAACTCTTTGGTTTTCCCTCCGAAGCGACAGTTGCCTCCCAATTCCGAAATTCTTCTTGGACATCCCTAAAGAAGTCCGCTGCAGAAAGAAGTTAGACTTGAGACCCACATGGCTCTTTAACTGCAAGACAGGCTATATGTGAAAAATGTCCTAGCGCAGTTGAAGTATCGATAGTGTATCTTTAACTGCCATGTGCAAATCTACCTATTGTTATTTGAACATCCGTGAAAAAGCTACCTGCAGCATGAAGGGGTTAAACATAAGAATGTAAAACCAAAAAGAGATAAGAACTGCCTCACTGAACAGATTAACGAATAGTTTTTTTTTGATTGGTGAACAGATAAACGTAGAGTTCTGTTTTGTTTTTCTTGTGCTCTGGTTTTTGTTTTTTTCAGGTTTCATTTTGTTTAATAAAAGCATACAGTTCGTTAGCATGGATCTCATAGGTGAACCCTCTGGAACACTGAAATTAAAGACCTTATGCTTGGATTCTGATTTCTGTATGATGGAAGTATTGCTTTATTTAGAATGTTGGTGCAAAGTAACTATTTTGAGGTATCGGCATCACAAACAATTTTCAGCGACAAAAGGGTTCAAACATCCAACTCTATTGAACAATCAAGTAATCAGTTTCTGTGGTGAGATTTCTCATCCACGATCAAATTAGTTCGATGGAGTTCTCTGTTGCTCTTTGTCGAAACACCCCCACCCCCACCCCCACCCCACCCCCCAAAAAAAAAAACTTACTGCCTATCTATAAAAGCCGGGGGAAGCGCGAAGAGCTAAGCGACGAATGTCGTGGCGAAGGAAGTAAGATATTCATTCTACTTTGTGAGCCGGTGCCTAAGTTTTATGATCAGCTAATGCATCCTTCAGAACTCGACCTTCATACTTTCTTTCGTAAGTGTTACAAGTCAATCAAGACACTGGAGGCATTTCAGACTACACATTCAAGTTGATTAATTAGTGGATGACGGATGCTTTTACTATTTTCATGTTTAAATTCTTACTACAGTTTTTAGTTCTTTTTGAAGACAGAAATGATAAGAGGTTTTGAACACAGCTCCTGACCACGGGATGGCAAGGTAAAGCAGCTGTTGCTTTATTATTTCGAAGCTAAGATTTTTTATCTGGACATAAACAAACATGCATACCAACAGAACTTAAGTACAAGTGAGCAGCAAATATCACTAATTAGCAAGGGTGTTTTACCAAAGCTATAGAAGTCTTCTTCATCTGCAGTACTTCTACTTTTTCCTGCTCCACTATAATATGAAGAACTTGTTGTGTCACTTCCCGAATCATATCTCTTCCTGGTTTTGGAGTTCAATAGTGTGTTGTATGCATGCTTAATCCTCATAAACTTTTCTTGAGCATTGGGCTGTACAGAAAGGCATTAACAAAAAGGGAGATGTCCTTCAATAATACCAGATTTAATCACCGGGAAGGAAGAGAAAGTTTTAGTTCCTAGTTCCCGTTTTAACTTCAGGCAATCTGTTTTTGTCTTTTCCTGCCGTCAACAAGCACCATGCAAAAAGTGAAAAAGGAAAAGGTAATTTGACAAATAATGCCTTGATTCCCTAAAGTAAAATAAATAGTGTTGTACCATATTTGGAATTTCTGTTGCTAGATTTATCTGCGCAGGGGATCACGCGAACCCAGTAGCTTTTGCCAATACCATGTATATATAACAAAAAATCCACTAAAATATCTATAAATATTTGATTGTGAACCCAGTTATTATTACAGTATTAACTTGAGATCGCGGCAGGAACCCATAAACTTCAAATCATGGATCCGCCTCTGCTTGTGTGTATATTTTGCTATTTCTAGTGCTAATCCTAGGTGAACAAGTAAAATACAAAGCAAGTACAGGAGGTTTGCAACTGATGAACCACTACAGCTATAAGCAACAACGCCAAATGTGTTATTGCAAACAGTGTTGTCAAAGGCGAAAAGCATCATAAAGCGGTCCAAGTCAATCAGGGCTTTAAGTGCAATTGAAGTGTGGGATTTAGTTTAAAAAGGCACAATGAAGAAAAAAATAAAAATATATATGTAATGCAAGACAAAAGGACAATTTCATTCATGATGAATTCCTCAACAATTAATATATCTTTTTGCCAATCATATTTTTCATTCAAGATAGAACTTAAGGCAATGAGGACACGCCTTAGTGGCTTGCTTTCACTGAAGCGCAGGCGCAACCTAAGTGAGGCGAAGCGCATACCCTGAGCTTTTTAAATGAGCCTTTGACAACACTGATTGAGAAGTTAACTAAAATCATTTTATAAACTTCAGCACCTACGCATAGGTTTATTAGGTCATCCAAATTATCAAGTTAAAACTAATAAAATTCAAAAGGCTACACTACCTCTTTGTTAACATCAGGATGATACTTGAGAGCGAGTTTGCGATATGCCCTTTTGATTTGGTCTGCTGTCGCCGATGAAGACACCCCTAAAACTTCATACGGAGACTCTTTTCGACTTGCCTTAACCAATGCAGCTTTATATTTTCTCCTCTTCTGCTTATTATAGTAGCCGCCACAGTAGCCGCCGCCACCTGGACTAGGTGAGAAGCCTAATCCCGACCCATACCCGATTATACGAACGGGTAACTTTTGCAAAGGAAAATGGAAGAAGTTGCAGTTTGCTGCTGGATTTTGAAACAGAACCGATTTTGCAAATATATAAATGGACGGCTGAAAATTCACACCTATCATTGCTATAGCATTGCAATCACAAATTAAAGGAAAACAATAATGGACCCTTTGCTTTTTCGGTGATCGGCAGCTTATTTATGGATTGCTGACATAGAACTCAAGATCAAGACTAAGTATAGTCCTCTGTTCAAACTCAGAATTGGAACTGGAATTGGAATTGGATTTAGTTGTTCGTAGCCGCTCAATAGCCTAACCAAGATTTTGGAGATGCAGATATAGACTACCAATTCTGTTTCACGTGAAGGGCACATGACGCTTTGTCTCCGTTAGTTAGGATTAAGAGCCCGTTTGGATTAGTTGGATTTTAAATGGCTAACAAGCTTGAGGTTATTGAAAAATATTTTTAAGACCCCGTTTGGATTAGCTCATTTGAAGTAACTGATAAACATTAGGTGCTAAAAAGTATTTTAAGTGCTGAAACTAATTTAATAAATAAGCAGTTACATGTTTGGATACAAGTGCTGAAATTGATAATAAGGTGATGTAGTATTTGATAAAAAAGCTCTTTTTCTGTTAAAATGACTTGAATAACCTTAGAACTGTTTACACTTATAAGGGCGTTCGAAATTTTAGATTTCAGATCCACTCAAATACAAATATTCTATTTGTTATTTCATTTTTATTACATCTGTGATTAGATAAGATAATTTTTATGATAAATATAATTTATTTTATGATAATCATAAGTTATAATAATTAATAAATTAACAAAAGTTTCTTCATCATCGCAACACTTAGAAAGTAATACACAAAAAATTTGATATGTCCCCGTTTATTACATATAATTCAAAGATTAATACACAATCACATAGATACAAATACGCAAGGAATAGAGAATTTGCTTACCTCAAATAGACAATGAAAATTGCAGGCTTAAAGAGGCGGGGGGTTTAGGTTGAAAAAATACGTGAGGTAGTGAGTATCTATGTAGGAGTTTTGTTTTAAAAATTAATATTTTAGGGATAAAATAGTAAAAATCTTGGTCAAACTTAAAGTGCTTATAAACTAAAAATTTATAAGTTGGAGGTGACCCGCTTATGGCTTTTGGTTATTTTTGGCTTGTAAGCACTTGACTTATAAACACCTAGATAAGTCGAAAAGTGCTTGTAAGCTAGTTTGACGAGTTTGTATTAAGATTTATGCCTAATTTTAACTTATAAGTACTTTAGGTGTTTACCAAATACGTACATAAACTAAAAGGTACTTGTAAATCAGTTTGATCACCTTAGCTAAACACACTCTTGAAAGTGCACTAATTTGTTAAAGAACAAAGAAATAGGATCATTTTGAACCAAAATATAAAGATAGAGGACTATTTTGGCTTTTTCTCCATTTTCTTAAGCTAAAACTATGATCATCGGAAAATTGCAACAGCTCAAAACTCACCCAATTCTTGGTAGTATCCATTTTTAAGGCCGTTCTTCAGTAGTTTTCTCCTTTCATCGTTCACTCGCTTCGCCATACAGAGGGAGAATGTTGCCGAGATGGAGCAGGGCCATTTCACAGTTTTCTAGGGCTTATTCACTAAGGAACACACGAATTGGAAGACATTTGTGTACTTTTTCATGTCGAGATTATTTCGCGGTTGCGCCGTCTGTAGACCATTCCACCGAGAAAGACTATAATAGCAAACTCCAGGTTTGAAAATTTCAGATTTTTTCTTTTGTGGTAATCAGAGGTGGAGCTATCATTGTGTGCCAAAGCCATTAACTTTGGTCCAAACCATGTATTTGTCTATTGAATATGTGCACATTATTAATTTAAAACTCAGTAACTTATAAGCCCGAACCCTTAATGTCAAATTGCCGCTCCGCCTCTGGTGGTAATTAGATGTTACTAGTAAGGTGATGCCCTAGGACTTTGTTCTGGTTCATTTGCTGCATTATATCTGTTGATCAATTTGCACATTTATCCTAGTTTTATATGCTATTTTCAGTACTTGATGTCCATTCAAAGGCAAACATAAAATTTCAAATAAGCGGGTGTGTAATACGACTGCACCGACTACTTCATTGTGACAATGTGTGTCGACTTTCTTTTTCTTCTTGAAGGTGGTGTTCGAGTGAGTTTACGCACCTCGACTATTCTATCATGTAGCGGCTTTCTCTACTAGTATAGGTGTTGGGTAACTCTGTGCAACTCGATTTAGATTGGTGAGAAAGAAGTCACTTAGCTTTTTAGTCTCTACTGCAATTTAGAACTTTGGTCTCCCATGGTCTTCATTCCAACTTCATTGACCTTTAGGACACACCCTTGGTGTCGAGTGCATACCTATAAATATATACTTATTATATAGCCTTTCAACTATCCAAAAATAGTTCTTTTGAAGTTGAAATGATTATTCGACGGTGCAACTTTAGTTTGAGCTGAAGGGATGCTAGCACATTAGCAGCTGACACTGTAAATGCACTACTGTGTCCACCCTGCTAGCATTTTTACCTTTTGGAGATTTTAAAGATTTTGATATCCCGTGTTTATTTTTCTGTACTTTTTCTATAGTGATGTTGTGCCAAATGAAAGAAGATGCCTTTCTCTTAATTTAGTTGTTGATCTCTATGCTTAGTGGAACATAGATTTGTTGCATGCAATGGTGTCTGATTTGCAAAGTACTGATAATTGAACTCCTGTTATTTGAGTAGGTAAATTTGAACAAGATGTTCTGGTCTAAGCCTCAATCATTGGCATTGGCCCCTGATTCACCGTTAAGAATTGAAGAGCCACAATATGATGGCATCCAGCGTTTTCTCCTCAAATTGATGTTGTTCTATAGTAAGCAAAGCACGTCCATTCGAGGAGCTAACGTTATTTATCGCCGTGTTATTCACCAAATTGATAGACCTGCTATCTATGATGGTGAGTCTCTTTGCTCTTCAGCTCATTGAACACACTATCTTGGGCCATTTCCTATGTGCTTATGGATTGTTATGTGAAACCTTTCTTTTATTTTTTTGTTTAAAGAAGAGAAAATGAATGGTGTTCTTCTTGAGTCTGTTCATTTGGATTGCATATGATTCTGATTGGGCACTCAAGCAGCCTATATGTGTAACAAAGATGCATTTTGCAAAGTTGTATGTAGGAACTATCGGTAGATGCTTCTTGACTAAAGTCTATGGCTCTTACGCCCCTGCAAATTCTTTAGTCATTTCTCTTCCGTACTCTGGTTCTGAGGTGTGAATTTCTAGATCGCGCTAAAGTTTTGAATTGCTGCACATCAAAAACCTCTTTATACGCATTCCTGATCTGCAATCTTTTCACATTATCTAGCTCATCATTATAATTATTTAGGCACTGGCAGCTATATCTCTAACTAATTGTTGCAAATCTTTGACAAGCATTACTGCTCATGTTAATTCAAGAGCCTAAGTGAGTTGAATGTTCATTCAATCTTTAAGCATAATTACCTTTTTTCATTTGATTGCGTGAGCACTGTCTCTTCACAAAGTAGCTATGCTAATCTGTGTTTGCCTTAGTTATTTGATCTGCTTGTATGTGTTGCATGCAGTATTTAGCTTGGAGAAAACATTTAAGAGCACATTTGCTTTACTTGTTATCCATATGTGGCTATGCTTGCGGCGCTTGAAGCAGGAGGGAAAAGAAGGCGTCGAGTTGGGGCAATATCTGTATGAGATATATAATCATGATCTGGAGTTGAGAGTTTCTAAAGCTGGGGTAAGTTATGAAACTCTTGTATTGAAAAATCAATTCAATATTGCAAATAATTCTTCTTTCTGGCATTCATTTTGGAAAGTAAATTCAAGTGGCAATGCTATTTGTAGTGGAACGTCCGTCTTGTTGAATATCTTTTGATCTTTTCTTTGTTGTTAAATTGACAACCAAGCTAGAGTGGCTGTAAAGTTTCAACTACTCTTATGTTTGGTTTTAAGAGAATTTGTGGTTGCAACCGTTGGTACAGTATATAAAAGCATGACTAATGGTAAGAAGAACAAGTCCACACTTTTGTTTTTGCAATCTGTAAATATGGCTTCAGCAAAGCCATTGTGCTGATGATTAATATACTGTACCTGTCCTAAAAAAAGAGCATGACTAATGATGTCGGGCTCTCCAAAAAAAAAAAAAAAGAAGAAAGAAATCTTAAGAAAAAATGGAAGGAAATTGAAAAAATCTGAAGGAAAAAATGGAGCTGTAGAGCATAACGAAATATCGTGGTTAAAGGCAAGTGTATAGTAAGTCTAAGCTAGCAATATCTAAGATTTTTCCATACAAAAGTTTATGTTATTATATTGAGATGGTTATCCTAAACTTCCCTCTTTTGCAATATTACTATTTTCATTTCTCATTTTCATATGTTGCTACAGAAGATCTCTTTTTCCGGGGGTTTTAGGGGGTTTGGCTTTCAAGCTCATCGAATTACATCTCAGCTCCCATCCCCATCCTTGGTTTAAAATTGACTATCAGCAAGTGATTTGTTTAAGTTATTGTCCCTGATGCACGTTTTTGCATTGGTTTTTTACAACTTACTTTGGGAAATTTGGTATAATGCTGCCCCTTTTCTGCTTCATTCATTTTCTTTTTTGGACAATTTATTCTCACCTCTCCGATTTTCTGAGCCGAGGGTCTATCGGAAACAGCCTCTCTGCCCTATCGGGTAGGGGTAAGGTCTGCGTACACATTACCCTCCCCAGACCCCACCTGGTGGGATTTTACTGGGTAGTAGTTGTTGTTGTTGTTGTCGTTTATTCTCACCTCCAAAGCGTAATGGAGGAAAAGAATACACAATTTAATTTGCAGCTCCATAAAGGTGACTCAGTTTATTTGTCTTCCTTGTGGAATGATACTGGCATCTCAGCTTCTATTGGTCATGACAAGAAATAGAAAATTTAAACTTTTCTATTCATATCCTTTGTCTATTTTTAAATCGCAGGTTAATTTATTGTTGACTAAATGGATGAAGGATTTGGAGAAGATATTTTACGGTAACATTGTTGCTTATGATGCTGCTATGCTTCCTGAAGCTGGGCAGGATGAGCTGCAAACTGTAATTTGGAGGTAAATACATTGGTTCAGGATCCACAAATATTGTTTTAATGTTGTATGTTTCCTTTTGCTTTGTTTTGATGAATAATGATCATTATATGGAACTAATGTGCTATTTCATGAACATCCACTCAGCTTAATTGTTTGTCAGTATTCTACTACTTATGTAGAGTTACTCGTATTTGTCAGAATTTCCACTTAGCAGATTATTACTATTACGAGCAGCGCATGGTTGCATGAATTAAATTGAATAATTATCAGAAAAATAAGCATAAAGTTTATAGACCTTAGCTAAGAAAAGCTTCAAGACCTTATCTTGAATGCCTATTCGGTCCTCATATGCTTACAGTTGTCAAAAAATTAGCTCTAAGCTCTCGGTGGATGAAGGTTGTAAAAATTTGAGCTGGATATTTATCAGATTGAGAATGAGTATTGGGTTGATTGATCCATTACCCAGACAGGAAAGCAGTTCTCAGACTTGTTTTCTAACATTTGGCTTAAAGCAGCAGAACTGGAGAAAAGCCAAGGCATGAGGAATCTTTGTTTTAATATAAAGAGGCATGAGGGAATCTCTTGATGCCCTTCTTCGAAAAGCTTTTATTTTCCTATTTTTGAGGGTTTTGGTTGATGGGAAATGCAGAGAAGTGTCTTTTGTGTGTGTATACCTGCTGATCGTGCCTATTAAAAATTTCCTTAATGGAATGATTAGGACATCTCCGAATGCATCACTATTAATGTAGCCTTACTGAATTGCTTTTATGTTCTTACTGAATTGCTTCTCCCTCATTTTGAATGAGTGCTGCATCAAAGTTTGAGAAGAAAATAAACAAGAGGAAAAGAGAAGGTTCTTTGCTGAAGTTAACAGGAAACAAACAAAGAACCGTGACAAAAGCATATGCCTTACTGTCGTTATTTCTAGATTCTGTTTTTATCCATAGAGTAGGATTAGAGAATTTGAAGCCAACTATATTGCAGTACCCATTAGAATCTGCTTTGCCTCATTTACTCTATTTGTTTTTTGTTTATATCTGGAGTTGATTGGCATGCCATGGTCACCCTTCGTTCATTGAGTATTCCTTTTTTTTTGGAATTCACCAAAATGAGAGTTTTCTTGTTTATGAGCTGAGAACAAGCTGTTGGTAGTAATCGAAGCTGAATGCTTTGTAGTTGATGTCACTGTGGTGTTATCATAAACTAGGATTTGGCATGGGAGAGGAATATAAGGGAAGTTCCGGTTTCTAGTTTTGGTAATTTGACAAGGATGGAGTTTCTTATTCACGGCAAATGACAATTAAAATTAAAATTGGTGATGGCCTTTTAGTTTACTGAAGAGACTCTATATGCCTTTATTTGATTATCCTTCTGATATTCTATGTTGTAGGAATGTCTTCTCTGATGATGGTACATCTTTACCAAATGATGCAGCCCTGCTTCCAGTCCAGGCAAGTATACATACATATACTTAAAGTGCTTTTTCTTTTTATCTGATACGTCGGGTGCTTTTATTAGTGAAAAAATGTCCAATATTTGCACAGAAGAGAACTATAACACTTACTCAAATTATCGTTCTTTGAAAAATCAGGCCTTATAAAACAAATTTTTAGTTCTTTCAACTCTTGTGTGGTACATAGAATTTGGTGTTATTTCTCCTGAAGCTCTTTATATATGTTCTTGCAGCTTTGACTTGGTATTGACTATGTTACAATTTTGGTGCATATCTTCTAGTGTTTTTCCTTGTAATTTTGTTACTTTTTGTGTTTCTGTATTAGGATGTTGGACATTTGGACCAAATTGTGTCAAAGACGATGGTCTTAACACCATGCTTATTTGTTTGATTTTGTAATTGCAGGCTATGTGTAGGTATGTTCGCAGGGAATCCAACTGTCTGTCATTGACAGGTACGAATTGTGTCCCAACTAATCTGTACTAAATCAGTTCATGTGAAAAGCATGTAGGCACATATAACTCCTAAGGTTTTCTGTACTCTTACTCTCTCTCTCTCTCCATAGAAAAGGAGAAAAACCTTAAAGTTGAACAGGCACCTTTTTCTCTTTTCTGTTATTGTGATCTACTTGTTGCGTATCTTCAAGCCAGTCTTCAAGAAGTAGGTGAAGAAAAATCATTTACAGGATCACTTGCTGGCTTCGAATTCCCTCTTTAGGCTTAACGATCTTCATCCTGTTGTTGGGATTGACTCAGTATTAGATACTTACTTTTGAGAGTAACAAAATACGTGTTAGCTTAAATACCTCATCACTCCCCATTAGGTATTTATTGTGAATTCTAAATTTTCCTGAGTATCATCTGAAGCCAAATAGTGGCAGAGTTATTAGAAAGCTTGATTCGACTGTTGCTTTGTCTTTTATGCATTGAACTTAATTTAACTGAAGTTACTTTGTCTTAAAAATAACAATAAGAAATAAATCTAATGGCCAATGTTCAATAAGTATGAAAGAAGTCTTTGATTTAAGGTTCCATTAGAGCAAACATTATCCATGAGGCTTTTGCTACTTGAGGAAACTTTTTATTGTATTCAACCATTCCTGTTGAAAGCTTCACTCAACTAAAACTGGGAAAGGAGATGAAGATATTCAACAATTCATGCTTATAATTCGAGCTCTTACGATGCTATTATTATTTTTGTGCTTTCTGTTGCTGCTACTTATCTATTGTCTCTTTTCGTATTCTTGAGACGGGGGTCTATCGGGAACACCCTCTCTACCCCTTGGGGTAGGGGTAAGGTCTACGAACACACTACCCTCCCCATACCCCACTTGTGGGATTTCACTGGGTGGTTGTTGTTGTTTGTTGTATTTCTGTGTTAGACTGAATAAGATATAGTCTCCAGAGCTATCGTTCTGATGATGATGCTTTTGTTTGCGTAGATAAAGATGCTGTCTTTTCGGGCAACTTCACGTTCACCCCATTGGAAAACACAAAAGCTGATAAAGAGGGAAGTTAATGCAAAGAAAACAATATCAAAACCACCCATGCTCATGCAACTGTGCCACAATTCATTGTAAAGATTCAGGCTTTCCCTCACTGAAATTATAAGAAATTGCTGAATGCGCAGGCGTGAAACATGAAATCCACTGTTCTTTGAGTTTCAGTAATCTAGGTGCAAATCTAAGGTTGCTTTGCTTTTTTGTGCCACAACATAAATCCTAGAAATGACTGTCAAACTGTTGATGGCTAATGTTTCTAATGGAAGTTATACGAGTGTAAGTTCTGAGAAAAGTCAGAGTGTAAGTTGTATATGGTAATTGCTTCTTAATTCGGATTATTGATTCTGGATAAGTCCCCTAATTGCTGATAATGGTAAACCATCTTCAATTGCTTGTTCTATAAGGTTAGACATAGAGATTCTTGCACAGTTTATTTGTAAAAATAAAAGCATTTACAATGATTATATGGTCTCTGGTGATATTTGTTTATCCGCTGCTTCTTAATGATAAAATCAAAGAAGATAATGATATTTAACTGTCTAGTAAAGGAGCTATTAAATGACATTCTTCACCAACCTCCAACAAATATAAATTTTGTAACTTAGATAGAACACGATTGTTAATCAAATTGTTCAACAAATTCAATATTCAAAGATGATATAACTAATTAAATCACCAAACTAAATATTTCTCAAGAATAAAATGATATTAGTGAAAATACGAAATTGTCTTCTTTCTTTTTTTCCCCGAGAAACTTGAGCAAGAATTATGGACTTGTTACTATTCACATAGTGTTATCTTGAGAAATATTCTCTGCAGTAAGATGGATTCCTCTGTTTCTCGAACCACCTCTGATCAATACTTCTGCTTCTTTTACTTCTTTTTTCAAGACCTACATTAAAAGAATTCTTACATCAACATTTTTCGCTCCTTTATTGAAGATTCCACATCATGCCTTTCATTTTCATTATAATATGGATTAACATTCCGCCTTGTCACGTTCTTGTAGCCAAGAAATGCAAAAGAAGTTGGTTTTCTTCGTTCATGGTGGTTACCCTTAAAATTGGATAACAATTAAATTTGTAAGTGGTTTTAAGGATGTGATTTCACTTGGCACAAACTGAGAAATATGAGAATTAATGCTAGAAGTTAACTGTAAAATAAAGCAAACCAATATAATGAGTGGCTATGGCCCTCGAGCTAGATCGCCCTCGAACCAACAGAGTATGCTAGTGAAAAGTATGAATTGAACAACAGAACTTAAGAAAGAATATGTAATATATTGCTTTGTAATGCGTGAATGTCCTGGTTACAAGATGATTAGAATCCCCCTTATATAGTAGAGGAATTCTACTTATGGTACCATTCTAAATACAGAAGGAAATCTCATGATTGGCTAAATGACCGGTCTTGACCTGATACGTGCTGAGATTTCCGCCACGATCCTTGCCCGATCACGGATATCTCGGCTTCCTATTATTCGACCTAGCAGGCTCCCTTCGATCTCGCTAGATCTCTATCCTGCTTCGATCTCGATCACTGCTGGTCTCGATCTTGATCGGTCATTGATTCATGAGCTTGCAATCCATCTTCGTGCCATGACTCGTTACAATGCGAGGCCGGGCCTTGGTCTGCCACCCCGGTTCCGATTAGCCATACAAAATTAGGCAAGCCCGAATTTGACCGTATACAGATAGTCCCCTTATTTTTTGGAGTATAACGACAAGAAACGAATTGAGTCTTCGAACATCCCCTCAGTTTATACGTAAGCATCGTGACGTAAGCGGCAGAGGTGACAACGTCCCGTCGGTACAATTTTCTAGGCATTTAATGCACATCAGTCGATGGTTGGCCACTACCGGTTCTGAACCGTCGTCTTCAACCTATAAATGTATCTTTCTTCATTCTTCAAACTTTACTTACAAATCTTCTTCACTCTAATCTTCAAAATCTTTTGCCTTCCTCAGAGCTTTGTATTTTTAGATCTCTGAATTTCTTTACTTGTTTCACCGCAAAATACCAAGCGTTCCTCCTCCGTTTCACTCTTCTTCACTTATAAAAATGGCTAAGACTTCAAAAATCGTTCCGCACAAGGAAACCGCTTCTTCATCAAGGCCTGCCGGCGACGGAGCCGCGACGGAGCCGTGACAGAGCATCCCCTAGAGCACTTCGTTCCGACAAAGTGCCCCACTGCTGCCGATTTTAAGGTAGAGAATAAACCCTCGACACCGGGTCGATGCGAACCGATGTCGAGATACATATGTACGATCACCAAAGACATCCTCCAGAAGATGAAAGAGGAGTGCAACTGGGTAAGCAAAGATGTAGTAGTTCCTACCGCCGAGGAATCTATCACCACTCATGTGAAGGGATATCTAAGTGTCTATACTTACCCCTTCACGATAGGTCCCTTAGACCCCGTCATCATCTCCTTTTGCAAGAGGTACGATGTCACCCTTGGCCAAATCCATCCTTCATTCTGGAGGATCGTGATCCTTCTTTGATTTTTTGTAAGGAAAATCGAGGGCCATCCTTTTACCCTTGATCATCTTATGCGTCTCTACAGTCCTCAGCTTTATCGAGGAGGACTGATCAAGCTTTACCGTCGAGCCACCAAACCCCCGTTCTCAAGCATATACGAGACACGAGACCGAGGTTGGATGCGCCGATTTGTCCGAATAAAGACTTCAAACCTAATCGCTGCCGAAGACATGCCGTTTCTTGAAAAATGGAACATGAATCGTAAGTGTTGCTTCGCCTTGAATACCTGCTTCTCATCTCCTTTCCTCTTGTGTGTTGCAACTGTGGCCTGCGTGCCGAAAGTAATCCCCGATCTCAGGCAATGGGTCAAGGGCTTACTGTCGCAAAAATCTTACTCCGAGCGTGCCTGGATGGAGTTATCAAAGGGTCGATGGGAGACCCGTAAACATGGTAATCTTCTTTCCTTAGTACGGTTTCCATTTGGACTTTGCATTTGAGCTTACTCGTCTTTTTTCTTTGTTAGGCCTCGGGAAGGATGTGGCAATGAGGCCCCCATCTGCTAAAGAAGAGGCATTCCTCTCATCATCTGCCCTGAAGGAGGCCAAAGAGAAGAAAAGAAAAGAGGCTTCGAACTCTCCGGGCCCAAAAAAGAAAAGACTGGCTAGGAGGCCCTGTAAGCCTGGGGGGAAGTCACCCCTCTAACTTTGGAGTCAGTTCTTCAGCTAAGGGATGAGCCTGAAGGAGAAGAGGAAGAAGAAAACTCCGGGCTAGTGGCTCGTGTACAAACTGGCGCCGATACTAAGAAAATCTCTGAATCGGTGGGAGCTGAAGCTGCTCTGCCCCGACCTGACGAACCTGAGGGGGAAAACTCAACCGAAGTCCCCGAGCCAAAAAGGGTCGAAGTCGCTTCCCCTCGAGGTGAGAGGGCTATCGAAGAGGCAGTGGATGCCGGTGCAGAAACCATATCTGAGGCCCCCCAAGATGGAGGCGATGCCTCAAAAGACCCTTTTGGGGAATAGAGATCGGGGATTCCCCGTCATTTCCTTCATTTTTTGAGTCAACGATACGTGACACTCAGGCCGTGGAGACTTGTCACGGGGAGGGAGCCCACGGAGAGGAAGATCCTTTCCGTGACTATTTTGTTGAGGTAGAAGATGTCACCAGTCCGGGTGACTTGGATGTCCCGAAGAAGAGCTTGGGCGAGGCTACCTCGAGTTTTAAACTGACCAATCAATTTCCGGCCCCTAGTGCCGATCCCAGGTGCAAGCGATCGATCGTAATCACGGTCCCGGAGGACGCCAGGGTTCTTGCTTCCCCCGTAGGGGTGGCCAGCTACCTCCAATGCTTGGTCACGGAAGAAGACCGAGCCTAGATGGACGAGGTGGGAGCGCCTTGTCTTTTCAACAAAGCCCAGCAGGCTCTAAACCGGGTAATCCCTGATTTCCCTGTCAATTTTCAAACTTAGGTTTTTCTCCCTTTATATAACTTTCCTTTCTATGTTTGTAGGCTTCAGAACTTCGGTGATTCATCACGAGGCTTTCCTTCGGTTTTGAGGGGAATTGAGCCGGTATGAGGCCGAGGTCCGAGGGCTGACTGAGGAAAGGGATGTGATAACGCCAAACTATGCCTTATAAAAAGACACGCGGACGTTGCAAATATAATCTGAGTATTTCTGCCCAAAGTCGAACCACAGGGAATTAACCTATCAATTACTTTTGTCGGACTTATTAAATTCACAGAATCAATTTCCCCAAACTTTGTGATTAACAGTTGATGATATTTCTAACAACTAAAATTGAAAATAAATAAACAGCTGAAAATTAACTATGCTTGATTTGTAAACAATTGGAATAAGGTCTAAGGTAATGGTTTCCCCCGTTGTTGATTTCCTTGGTTGTATATTTCTTATAACTGTGACTTAGTTGTCTCTATCAATCATGAACACTCCAGCTATCATAAATCTTTCTCAAGCAATTATGATAATTTACTAGACGCACTCTCTCAAGCTACGCTAGCTAGATTCGCATTACAGTTCACTTAGATTGCACCCGAGGTATCGTTATCTCTAACCCAACCTCTAAACCCTCAGTTATGACTCTCGTCTATACTCCGGGAGTGATGTCGTTCAAACAACTACCTAAATATGCACTCTCTCTCAAGCAGATACATACTAAATAGGGACGGATAATTGAGGGACCTTTCAATTAACCACAATCAAAACGTAGATGAACAAATAGAGATTAAAAACCAATTCAAAACTATATTAATATAACAACCAAGTCATCCCCAACGGGTTTCACCAAAACCTTAGATTAAAATATTTAGCTACTCATAACAACGATAAAAACTACAAAAGAATTCATAGTCATTGATAGAAGAATAAAGTAGGGAGAATAAAATCGTTTTCCAAGTTGCCTCCTTGCCTCTCTTGCTTCTTCTCAATAACTCGAACTCCTTTTCTCTCTTGGACTTGTTAAACCTTTTATAGTTTTTGTAGATTTGCTTGAACATGCCCTTTTAAAACTACTGTTCCCGAATCTGGACTAGCGGGCACGCTAAGGCCGCGCTACTGCCCGCGCTAGTGGAGTTTAATTCTGTTTTGGGCTACTGAACTAGCGCGGGCGCGCTAATGCCCGCGCTAGTGGGGTTTTCCACTGCCAACGAGCTTTGCTCCTTTTTTTCGTCCATAAATTCCAAATTTTGCCCGGATCACCATCATAAGTCCTCATTTGATTATTGCATTCCTGTGAAACATAAAAGTCACCATTAGAGCCAATTTTTGCATTATTTACACACTTACAACAGTAAAGCATCCTTAAGTTAGAGCCCGAACGTAGGCCAAACTATACAATTTAGCCTATTATCACCCAGCCATTGGGAATGCTGGCACACCCCTGGCCAACCTGTTAGCCAATTTAG